GGGGGGAGGTAGAATTCCCACCCCACATTCACAGAACCGTTTCACTTTCCCACAGAGAGGACTGGAGTAAATATTTGCTGTGGTAGGATTTCTGTTGGTCTATCTAACCATCCATCCACACACACCCATCCACACACACACATCTATAAGGGCTTGTCAAGAACCCATGAATCTCTTTGTTGATGCAGATGGGAAGAACCCAACCTATCAAAATCTGTAAGTAGGAGAAGGGATATCCAAACATCTTATCAGTCCAACCTGGAGGCATTTACTAGTTTGGTCTACAGCAGTGTTCCTCAACCCTGGGAGCTTTAAGAGGTGTGGACTTCAACTCCCAGAATTCCCCAGCCAGCAAGGTTTGAGTGTGCTTCCCAGCATCTTTAGCAGTTGAATCTTAGGCTTGGTGCCACTGAATTAGATTTTCCACCTTTTCTCTTTGAGACCAGCCTTTTTTGATGACTTACAGAGAAGGCAATCACAGAATGTTCTCCTCCTTGCTGAGAACAATAAGAGAACTGAGGATTATGGGAGCTTGTCTGCCTGGGACAGGCTGGTATAAGGCCCAACGATTAAGACTAAATGCAAGGAATCTTCCTATAAAATCCTTCACTTGCACCCCATGATATGACAGAACAACCTGCAGGGATGTCTAAAGAGTCCCTGAGCTTCAATCTGGCAGTCAAGATCAGGCTTTCAGGCTCAACATTCCAGATCTCTGCTAGACATTTGACTTAGCAGGTTTCCAAGGACTCAAATACATGACCAGAAAACCTAGGAAGGAAACGTTGAGTGACTATGGCTCCTTCAGATCTTTGAACTGCAGATCTAGCAATCTTCACAGTCTAACCTACAGTCATCCTCAACGCCAACTATTAAAAAAAAAAAAAGACTGAGAAAGACTGACCTGTCCGCTCAAGACAGTGATGATTGTCCTTTTTTGCTCTGGTTTTACTGTGCTGCAGTTGTTTGCTATCTTCTAAAGCATCTCGAGGGCTGTGTAACCTATAGATCTCAATCAGCCAGTAAAAGAAAAACCATGAGTGTTACAAATGGCTAAGAAAGAAAGAAACTACCAATCAATCAGTTAAAGGTAGTTGTAGAAGCCGAGGTTCTTTGGTTCTGCACAATTGTACGTTTTAACATCCCACTGCAGTAGTGAATCAGTCTGTAGTAGTTTCCATTTAGAACAGAAGATGCAGCACTTCACCTCTGAATAAAAGGAAGACTGAAAAGTTGGTCTCCTGCATCAGCTACCATTAAACTGCCCTGTCAAAGGAATTCCTTCCAGAACCAAAGCAGAACATCAATTTCTACTGGTGGTGAAGCTGCCAAAACGTAACAAGTGAAATTATGGTGACATCTGCTGGTCATTATGGTTCTCTTCTCATCTTGAGAACAAATTTCACCACTGATCTGTAGAGGCAAGAAGTCAAAACCTGCAAAGAAAGAAGCCCAGATCACATCTTAGTGTTGAAGCATTGCTGGACGTATTGCCCTGTGTCTTTTCTCCGTATGCAAACTTTCATCATGGCCTTCTGCTTCAGCTAATGCAAGAAAAAGATGCTGTTGGACTATCTACTCAGAATGCTGTACATCTTATCTTGAACTACATTCCACCAGCATCTTCTAATTACTCTACATCTTATCTTGAAATACAATCCACCAGCATCTTCTATGGGTAGTTCATACAGGGGGCAATATATTGTAAGATGTTGCACTGTTTCTATTCAAATGTTTTCTCTCCCATGACAGGAGTGAAGGTAGAAAAGATACTATCAGGCTGTGTTCTTACAGTATGTTTAACTGGGTTAGTTAAAAATCAAGCCACTGCAGTTGTACAGCTTGCAATAGTATTTGATGGCTCAGCCCGTGGTACAAACTCAGCCCATTTGGTTATTTAGGTTCAAATCCAGAAATGAGGTTATTTAGTAGCCGTGTTTAATTTGTCAACACACACATACACACACACACCTGAGAGATGTTCTTTAAGAACAATACCTAAGGATCAGAGAAAGTACAATTCCATCTTAGAACATCTTCTCATATTATCCTCTGCCATTTTTGGTCATGTCAACCATGGTGACATTTTTGATGATGGTACTGAACTCAGGAAGGTTACAAGGTCCCCCCACTGGACTACAGGCCTTGGCATGTACCTGACAATGCTCTCTTCTGATCCTGAACCTGAGACAGCCACCATTCCCTCCAACCAGTCCTCCTTCTCCTTGCCCAGAATGGAACCAAAACCCATGAAGATAAAACACAACTATTTTAAATGCAATTATTTCTCCCCTTTGGGGAGAAGCAATCCAGGCCCAACAGAAGATGTCAGCTTAGATAATGAGACAGGAAGACACTACTGGACTTTCTGTGGTGTCCTATGCAACTCATGAAGATCTTCTGTGGCCCCTACTATAAATTCCAGCTGAATTGCAGTGACATATTATTTATGAAAGAAAATGAAGAATTGGAAAGTACATCTTTGATGGATTCACCAGAATGTGCTGCTCCATTTCATTTTTCAGGGATGACTAGAACGGGAATTTTTCATTAACTGTCTGAGCAAAAGAGGGGTTTGTCCAAAACAAATCCACGGAAACTAAATTAGTTAAAATAAATTAATCTATATTCCTGTGAGTCTACTGGAAAGTATGCCTAAATCTGGATCTAATTTACTTGGTGTTTTCACACTACATGCTCAACCTGGCCAGATTAAGCTTGGTTCGTTTTAATTTAAGTTCATCTGTTGCACCAAATCAAACTGTGGCCTTAATTTAGAATTCAATGTATTGTGTAAACCCAGTAAATAAATTAAGGAAGTAATCAGGTTTAAGTATATCATGTATAAAAATATAAAAACTTACCTGAGTTAAGCTAAACACTTGGTGACTTTATGGATTCTATCTTCTCCTGTTCCCCGCCCCACCAATTTCTCAGTCTAGCTGTAGCCTCCCAATCCTTCCCAATCATTTTAGCTTTTTTTGAGATTCCATCTTAGATGCTCCTCAGCCTTTGCCATGAGAAAGCCCACCTGCTCCATTCACAATGGAGTTTTCCTTCTGTTTCTTGGAAGTCCAAGTTTTAAAGACCATCTCTATCTGACCAGCCCAAATCTTGCTTCTTTCATCTTTTACATATGCTTCATACATTGGGCCTGCTTATTGCTCTTCTGGCCAAAAGATGGGGTTGTTGTTCACAGCTCCATATCTTCGTCCAAAATGATTATTTTCAAATATGAAAATGAGTTCTTCTTGAATGGATACAATTTTGGAGGGGGGCAATGAAAGAAGGGTCAAAAATCAACATCATCTAGAATCTCCTTGTTTAGAGATGATACAGAAGAAGCATGGCAATGAAGTTGTAATTTTACCTTTCGGCATAAACACTGCTTCGCTTCGCATTAAATCAAATTAAAAAAACCACACACACACAACAGTGACATGTTTGAGGTACATGTAAAATATTGCCAGGAAACAGAACTTCTCAGTTCTGCTTGAGCGTTCGTTGACCTCCACAGGGCATTCTGCATGAATGTTTTTACTAGCTTTTTGCTCATTAATGTTGTAAGGAAGGCACAAATTCCAGGCTTCTAGGGCCCACTTTATTTTCTTAAAAAACAAAACTCTAAAATCTCAAATTCTGCCAGCACTTGGGTACAAACTGTTCAGGGCAAAGGAACACCTGAAGGAATTAAGGGAGACAGAAAGTTGGCAAGTGAATGATAACCAGGATAAGTCAAAGCAGAACGGCAAAACAAGTATTTTTATCGGGTTTCACTAAGAGGTAAATAACAAAGTAAGTTTGTTCTCTTCTCTACAAAGAGAAAGGAAAACATGCCTGCTTGCAAAAATGTGTATATTAGTAGAAGTGTGCTTAATAGCGAAAATTATATTCAAAATGCCCTTTGTTTAAATGACTTCAAAATATTGTAATATGAGAAATGCACATGAAAAGGTAGTTGGAATAGCCTTTCCCCCCCTTTTTTTTGTTTTAAATTGTGAACTGTTCAGAGAATGGGATGAAAATGAAGTTGGGGTGGGGAAAAACTGTTCTAGCCATACTTAAGTCTTACACAGGTGCAGGAAAAAAGAACAAGAGCTGTTGATTGTACAGAATCACAAAGTGTTTTTGCTACCAACAATTTCCTCTAGCTGTTAAAGGTAAAGGACACGTATTTCAGGTATTTTCCGCTCTTAAAATCAAGGTAAACTATAGATGAATTGAGAAATACTGTTTTAGGTGTATAAACTGTTCTAGATGTGTATTTCATCAGTGTATTGATATACTTTTGTCTGAATTTTGTTTTTAATGGAGTTCTGTTGAGCATTTTAAGAGAAGATGTTATCTGCCAATTTTGCAAATCCAAAGTTGTCTCTTGGGGATGGGAATGATGTAAAACAGTGTTTTTCAAACTTGGCAACTTGAAGATGAGTGGATGTCAACTCCCAGAATTCCTCCCCAACTTGTGCAGGGGCGTTTTTGGGGTTGAATGGACATGCCTTATATTTCTCTCTCTTTTAATACACAA